GAAAGGACACTATCAATAAGCTGACTATACACAGGGGGAAACTGAGTCACAGAAAGGGACTCAGCCAGAAGGCCAGGAATAGCGCCCAGAATGAGAATGTCAAAATAATTCATTGAGATGTTTCCCTACCAAAACCGACACGTCCCCCCTGAAACATTTTACTTTTGACAAAACGGCCTTTTCCAATGGAAAACTGTTCTATCGAAAGCTTTCTGGCCAACTCTGTGCCCGGCCCCGGCTGGAGAACCTACCTCAGGGTTTTCTGCTCCAGCCCAGATCTGGGAGTTGAGCTAGAGCGGAGCTCAAAGACAGTCACTTCCCCAGCCTTTGCTAGAGTCTGTCAGGTGTTTAAATGCAGGGCCTCTTCTCTGAATCCGAGACTAGATAGCAGGGGGGACTCTGGGACAGTGGTGAGCTGAGCCACTCCGGCCTAGGGAACCAGATGGAAAATGTTACTGTCCTAAAGGGCAGTAAACCCACTCTAGAGCAGGGGTCTCCAACTGTTTTTGGGTGGGCCCCACTTTGAAAATATTTCAGGCTGTGACAACCCCACTCCCACCCCCACAAAGTGACAGCAAATCACTGGACATACTCAGAGGCAGGGCCGTCCTTAGGCATACACAGCATACGCGGCTGCGTGGGGCACCTGAAAATGTGGGGCACCCCCCTCGCTGGCTGCGACTCAGGCTCCTCTCCGGCCGCTCCCCCACATTGGGCCGGCAGGCTTCTCCCCGACCCGACCGGACGCCCTGGCCCCTCCCCTCTGCCCACTCACTCCTCAGCCGGCCTGCGGGCTCTGGCTCGGGCTGGGCATCACGGGGCTAGGAGCAAAAGTTTGCATGTGAGTGAGCAGGGGGAGCTGGGCAAGTCTGAGAACAGAGTGGGAGGGTACCCGGATGCTGGGAAGAGAGTTGGGGAGCTGAGCTTCGGGGGGTAGAGCCGGGCACAGGACTTCAGGAAGTGGGGAGCAGGGAGAAGCCAGGCTGGGGGGAGCTGGGCTGGGGGGCCAGGAAGGCTGGGAACAGAGCGGGGGGATAACCAGAGGCTGGGAAGAGAGGGGGGGAGCCAAGCTTGGGGGTAGAGCTGGGCACAGGACTTCAGGGAGCGGCGGGTGAAGGAGGAACCGGGCTGGGGATGGCTGTGGGGAGCCTGGCTGGGAAGGGAAAAGAGCAGGGTGGGGGGTGTCTTTGTCTGGTTCAGTAAGCGAGCAGCGAACTTGCTAGGGCCTCCTGGGGAGCAGGCTGGTGGCCCCAGGGGAGAGCAACTGTTCTGAGCAGCCCC